GTTTACAGAAAAGAAAAACAGAACTTCCAACACTACATATATTCTTTCCATTGCCCCAGTAACCCCTGATTAATGACCTCCACTTGCAAAGGAGACTACTTACCTTAACCATGAAATAATGAATGCTATTGATCCAACAAGCTGCTGCTATAGAATGTTATTGATCACCCAATCTTTGGTTAAAATGGTCCTCATTTAGCAATTTCACTGTCACAAACACCTGGAGCAAAGCACACTCATAATTAAAGAGTTTGGGGCAGTTCAAGGGAGAGGTGATGGACAGAGATCTCAGCTTCCCCCCATTTATTCTCGCTCCTGAGCTATTGTTTGTGTCAGAAAGGATATTGATTTTCTATAAAAATAAGAAAACAAGAGGCACCAAGGGGCTGCAGAAGGTCAGCTTGGGCTGAGGAAGGAGGGGACAGGTCTAGCATTCCATCTCTGTCACTTGCCTTCCAAGAAAAGGGAATATTTTCTTTCTGTGAAACTGGCCTCTAATCCATCACCTGAGGAAGGCTCTTGATGTGACTTTAGGCCATCACCCAACCAATCTGCTCATAAGAGAACTAAACTATATTCAAGACAAACAAACAATGCACTGCCAAAGAGCAGAGAACACCAGACTAAGCTCCATCACTTAGGGATAAGTGATATTCAAAAAATCTGAACGAAGTAATGATATTTGAAGGAATAAATTTTACAAGATTTGTAAAATCTAAGAGTATTCACTCCCACAAATACACAGAAGACATTACAGTAATAATTTGATCTTTATAAAGCATGAATAAAGTTATTATGTAACACCCACCCATTTCTAAACCCTCACAATTCTTGGCTGGAATAAAACTGAAGAACAGAACAGAGAAAGAAAAGCATAAAGAAACAGCAGCAAGGCTTAAAACCGTTAGTAATTTTAAGTTGCTAGCAAAAAGTAAATTTAAGTAAACTAGAAATAAAGCCAATCAACATACACATTACCAAATCAAAGCACTTAACACATGATTTCTTAAAACACTACCCACAGACTAGGCTAAGGTTAATAATCAACTTCTTATCTCAGTAATTTTACAAGGTGGATCAAGGTTGGTAAGTTTACACGGCTGATGGTGAGAACCCTCAACATGACTGACAGGAAGTAAAGTTCAACACTTTGATCTCTACGTGATTGAAGCATGGCATAGCCAAGCAGCTTCATTAAATAACAGCCACAGGGATTCTTGAAAGGACTTCTTTTAAAGCAGAAGGTAGAATAATTTTGACATAATCAACTTGCCAACAGGGAGTAATACACAAATCATAACTATTTTCTACTTGCAGTCTAATGTTAGTCCTGCTTATAAAATGGGGCTTGGGTGAGGCTCAGTTTCAGAGTACCTGCCCACCATATACAAAGCTCTGAGTTCAACCCCCAACACTAAAGTGAAACAAATTACAAGCCATAAGCCTGTAATTCTAACATTTAGGAAGCTGAGGCAGGAAGACTGCAAGATGCAAGTCATACTGAGGTAAAGACCCTACCTTAAATAATATAGTAATAATGAGTAAAAATAAGTAATAATTAAGAGCAGCTTGGAAACTGAAAATTTTTATTCTACTTCAATGATGAGGAAAGCTTGAACATATTCTGATGCCAGAGAATAAGAAGCACCCTTCTCTCGACAGAATGTGTTTAGGGGAAAAATACAAGGGCATTTCTATTTGTAACTACAGATAAATGGAGACAAGTCAAGGAGTGATTTAACATTCCTTTAAAAATTTGATTCTAGCTATTGATTTTTAAAAACAGAGTATCGTATAGCCCAGGCTGGTCTCAAACTCATTAAGTAGCTGAGACTGGTCTTAAACTCCTGATCTTCCTGTCTCTACTTCCCAAATACTGGGACTAAAGAATGCGCCACCATGTCTTGTAATTCAATTACACATTTCAAAGACTTTTTCTTAGTGTGTGTCCATTACTATTACCATAAACCCACTGCTTAGTTTCCCTGTATTTTAAAAGAAATTTGGAAATAGAAATGGATAAATGAAGATGGAATTATTTAGTTTGGCCAGAATCAGGGAGAGAAATCTCTTAGGTAACAGCATCACCAGCTATGATGAACTAAGCCTGGAAATACACATGCTAACTTAACGGGGAGGTAGGCTGTCCAGACTGTGAAATATCTTCCTGTAAGGCAAGCACCTCTTCTGGTCACTACTAGGACTTCAGCCTCTCCCTGCTCCAGCATGGCACTCCTGGGAAAAGTTTAAACTCTGGGGTCCATTGTTTCAATAATCTTAACAGTGGGCAGTGAGAGCACAAGGCTTTTTAAGGTGTGTATGTGAGTGTGTGTCCAGAAAAGAGTACCGGATCTCCTTAGAGCTGGGATTACAAGTATGTAACCCAATGTGGGTGCTAAGAACTGATCTCAAGGCTTTTTGACAAGTACTGCTGAGCCCTTTTATCCAGCCTCCAGGAGGGTCTAGCCCCTCTCCAGCCACTGCTCACACAGGACCAATGTCACACTGCCACTTCACCCATTATTTCTTCAGTGATAAGAACTCTGGCATCCCTATCTCTGCAAGGGTCTGAAGTTCTGGCCAGGGGGGAAAGCCCACGGGGGAGAGTCAGGTCTCTTCAGTGTGAAAAGAAGAACTTCATGAGAACTCCTGTTGACTTCAGTTTCTCCTAGATCTCAGATTAGAACCTAGAGCCTGACAGCCTGGGATAGGAAGGGACAGAAGACAGACACATCACTGCTGGACCACATGCCTACATGCCTAGGTCCTGTGCTGGGAGTTGTGCTTAGAGAAGACAGCTGACAGTCTCTAGCACACGCACTATCTTCAAGCTTAACAAGAAATTCCAGGGAAGAAAAAGACACAAGCAACAATCTAACGGGCTATCTTAATTCTCCATTCTCAGTTCTAAGAGTCTAAGATGTCAATGCCTGATCTTACAGTACCTTGAATGCAGAAACAGAAGGTTTCAGAATCATAAAAGGCTACAAGTTGGCTAAGCAATTCTTGTTTGATTAAAAATAGTATGAGTATGAGGGAAGAATACCTTTATAATCCAAAAACTACACATAAATTGGATAAACAGGATTAAGAATCAAACTTAGAAGAAAATTACAAGAGTCAAATTGTAAGCCTACCTCAAAACAGCTGAACACACTGGCAAAATAGAGTTAGTAAGAAAAAGTTTGAAAGTTAAATTAAAAGGCATTCAGAAAAGGAGGAAACACACAGACCTCCACGACTTGTTACCAACACAACCTTGCCTTGGTGGACCTAAGCTTTATGCCTTTGAGGGTGGGAACTTCAGAAGAACAAGGTCCTAAGAAAGGTTACCTGTGCTACCCTGTAAAACATAACAGGTAGCCAAACCTGGTGAAATACGAGCTTGGAAATAAGTTTAACTCTGTCTGAGCACTAGGTGACCCTGGCAAATTACTCAAACTCTAAACCTAGTTTTCTCTTCTAAAAATACAAATAATGAGGTTCTACCATAATTGTAAGAAATAAATAAAAACATTCAGCAGACACGCAGTACAGGGGCTACCATACAGAGTGAGTACTTAACAAACCTGCAGTGCTCAGCCCACCTGCCACCCCTGACGGCAGGAAGAAGGGTAGCAACATGGTAGAGCTGCTAAACATCCTGCTGTGTGTCACAAAGAACTGTCCCAGACACCAAAGGCATCCTCACGGAGAGGTCACATTTTAACTCTAGTAATAATATTCAGGTATCAGGCTGCCAAGTATCCATGTTTGCAGGGTGATCTGACATGGAGAGAAGTGAGTTACCAAAACTACACTGACATTTTAAACATGCAACCACCAGAGTACTTTATCATGTGATACAAGATTAAAAGAACTCACAATGTTATTTTCAAACCACACTATATATGCATACAATTTAAATGTCTGCCATTGGGAAACACTCAAGGACTGACCAAGACAGCTCAGTGAGTAGGTTAAAGCACCTGTTGCCAAGGCTGATGACCTGAGTTTGATTACACACACACACACACACACACACACACACACACACACACACACGTCACTCACCCACTCAGAGGCAGGCAGGCAGGCAGGCACTAAAGAAGTTCATGAGATGGTTCAGTGGGTAAAGTGCTCACTTGAGTAAGCATGAGGACCTGAACTTAGATCCCTAACATCCACATAAAAGCCAGGAACGGCAGTGCATGTCTATCATCTTACTGTGATAGCTGAGACAAGTGGTTTCCCAGGGCTTGCTGACCACCCAGTCAAGCCACTTGGCAAGCTCTGGGTTAGTGACAATTTCCACAAACAAGGTGAAAAGTAAGAGAAAAACATAACAATTCACTTTGGGCCTCTACGGGCACATGCACACGTGTACACAAACACACACGCACACACACAAATGCTTGCAATACAGTCAAACCATAACTAGCAGAAACAGAATTATAGCCCTAAAGTATAGAAAGTCATGATTCTCATTCTCTCTCTTGTTTTTGAGATAGAGATTCTCTTAACAGTCCTGAAACTTACTTTGTAGACCAGGCTGGCCTGGAATTCACAGAGATCCACCTGACTCTGCCGGGATTAAAGGCGTGGGCCGATTCTTAAAGAGCAAACCTAGCTTGCATTTGTTTACAAACTGCCTAGACCTGGCACCCGTGCTTTCTCTGTCACAGCTGTCAACAGCAGCCCTCGCTGATACTTTGATTCTAAAGAGCAGCAGCTTTGGATGAACTGAATGGTATAAAAAACAGCAAATTATTTTTCAAGACAAACTCCTGGTTTAAAATACATGTTTGAAATTATTTTTAGGTTAAAACTGTTTGTTACACACAACCTTCTTGACATAGAGAAACAGATTCACGAATGACACTTTGCAAGCCAGCTGACTCTAGGCAGCCAGCCTACAAAGGCAACGCTAGCAGAAGAGAGTGGCACTCACTGCAAGCTTGGGATTGCACTCCAGGGAGAATTAACCAGGGAGACCTTTGCTTTAGGAGGGGTGATCTCACCATTCTGACATGTTCTCATCAGAGCCCTGCTTCGCTTCCTCCGCTTCACACTCCATCCTCTCTTTCCTTCCTGTTCTGCTTAGGAAAGTCCTGTTTTCTGCTGCCTCACACAGCCCATGCCCTGATGAGGTCCAGGGAGTGTTCTCCTTCCAGCGGGACAAACGCTGCTTCTTGGCAGACTTGAACCTGCAGCCTCTCTCGTAGCTCCAATCTGACACCTTCAGCTTCTGCTGAAGGCTGGCGGCCACCTCTGACGTCACTCTCTTCACCTTCCGCCGGCGCCTGAGTGGTCGGCAAGGCGCATTTTCTGTAAAGGAGTCAGATTCATGCCAAGAATGTGGCTTACTCCGAATGATGGCACTGAGAGCTGGGTGCCGTTTGCTCACCATTGTGTCATCAGAGTCACTAAAATTGGTGAGCGGAGCCACTTCTCGGCAGTCCTTGGTGGTTTCATCCAGACTTGACTCGGAGGCTTCACTGAAGCAGCAGGCATGCTCTACCAGGTGAGAAAAGTCAGACCTGCGTTTTCGGCCTCTGCGCTTCCGAAGCTGCCGCCTCTGCTGCCTGGGGCTCAGGGCCATCTCCTCCCACAGCTCACCAAGCTTACTCTGCTCAGACGTCTGCTCCAAGGCTGAGGCTAAGTCATGTACCAGCTCATCCATGAGGCCACATCTGCCAGAAAAAAAAAAAAAGAAAGAAAGAAAAAAGAAGAAGAAAAGCTTGAAGAGGCTTGTGTTTTCCAGTCATTTTATAAAGCACATAATGGCACTGTGGCTCCCTGCCAGGCTACGGGAAATAGACTCCTTTCATCCACTGCAATCACCACTGTTTCTAACATCCATGCGCCTGTAAGTCACAAACATAAGGCGTCTGGCCCTCATTACATACCTGAAATCGACATGTTCAATAGCTCACCAGATGATAACTGGTACATTAACAAAACCAAACAAAGCTGCTTCTTTTCTCCAATTAAATGTGTCCCTTGATTGCCTGAACTTGAGAAAGTGTCTCACCAGAGAGAGGCAGCTCATCACACGACTTCAGCACTATGGCAGAGAGAGCTATGGAGCACTGGACAGAATCCAGTCATAATGGAAGGCTAGGCAGTGGTCTGGGATACCTGCAAAAAAATGCTTGCGGGAGGGAGGAGACAAAGATCTAAGTGGCAGCTATCAGGAAGGCTTTGCAGTGTTCATAAAGAATCTGTGGTTACCCAAGTAGGTATTCACAAAGAGGGAAAAAAGAAAGCCCATGTCTGGTACTACCATGGTACCAACTGCCACCTGGAAGTTACCAGATACATTACACCATAGAATATGGCACTGATTTTTTATTATGATTATTATTTTAGTATAGAACTTTAAGACTACTCATCCTGGTCACCCCAATTATGTGCTTTAGAGCCAATCACACTAAAGCAGGACAGGAATGAAACTAAAATGGGCATGCAGGGTGACGTCTCTCAGATTTCTGGCTAGCAGAAACAACACTTTGAAGACATGAGTAATTTACAAATTTTCATTTTCAAAAGGAATGCCTAATACCAGCTGTACGACACCTAATTCTGTGTACTAAAACAGCTCTTTCTCCCCAGCTCTTGTTAAGCCCAAAGTACATCTTGGCCATAAACAGAGTTTAAAGCCAAGTTCAGACCACATATCCCTTCATGTGATTTACATTTTGCAAAGGACTTTCTAAAAAACGGTTCTCACGGGGTCCATATGTCAACAAATTCAGAGGCAGGGAAAGTTTCCCGGTTTATGTGTCACGTCTGCGAGAGGGATGGGGCCACCTAGCTCCAAAAACTGTCACCCAAACACCCTTCCTCAAGTGTCAAAAGCCTTGCACATAAAAAGACCATTTCCCTTCAGCAATCATGCACATTAAAAGACCATTTCCCTTCAGCAATCGGTAGCAGCCTAAAACGCTCGGGCTGGGGTTTGGAAAACAACTGTCCCTGAGCCCAAAGTAGAGAAACACAAGGAACAGCAGCAAATCTAAGTCTCTAACAAAAAACTACAGCTTTGAAACTCAGGCAGAACTGCACAAACTTTAACATGGAACAAGTGTACTAAACGAAGTGTCCTTAGATGCTGGCGCAGAAGTCTTGCATCTCACGGGGGACAGAGAGAGAGCCCCGGAAAATGCACACCTCCAGGCTTACTTTCAGGAGCCTACCCCGAGAGACACCCTGGTCTGAGTCACTCAGGACGCTGGTGGGCCACAAAGCAGCCAAGACTAGCTTTGCCTCCCCAGTGACGGGAGGAGCGGAGGCAAGAGGCAACTTCTCATTTGGACTCACCCGAGACGGGGTCAGCTGTCTAGGGCAGAAACTGTCTCAAATCTGGTCCTAGTGACTGGGTTCCCACAGCGAAAGGGTGGAAGGGAGGGGGTGTCACGGTACCGCCACCGAGGTGAAAAAAGCCGTGTTTCGGAGGACTCTCCACCATGCCCAGCACGTCCCCAAGGGCCAGGGAGACCCCTGCTCGGGATACCAAGCCTGAGCTCTCGCTGTCGCCCACCAAAGACCCAGCGAGAGCGGAGGGGACTGTCGCCGCGGAGGCCGCCCGACCCTCAGCGCCCAGGCTGAGGAGCCGCGTCTAGGGCAGCAAGGCCCCGCCACCCTCGGTCACTCGCCGCAGCCCCGTATTGCCCTGGGCCACCCCGCTGCAACCCGGAGCCCGGAGCCTAACAGGCGCGGCCCAGCCTCACGGACATCCTTCCCCTCACCGGCTGCCGCAGCCGCTCGCACCCGGCGCCTCCTTCGGGGCTGAAGCTTCTAGTCCGGGTTTCCCTCTCTGACCTCATTTCCGGTCTGGGCCGGAGAGGTGGGGCTGTAACGGTAAGGGAGGGGCGGGCAGTAAGAGACGACACACGCCCTCCCTGCACTTCCGCCCTGCGGAGGGCCCACTTCCGCTCCGCCGTGGGCGGGCCAGCGGGAAACTAGGAAGTGGGGTAGGAGGTAAAGGATTACAGCGAGACCTCACATCTCTCTTAGGTTCCTGACATTAAGGAGAAGTAGGTCACCTGCCTTCGCATTGTTACTCAAGACGTATAAAAGTGTACGTGGCTTGAGCAAAAAGCAAGCCATACTGCATTAATAACCCAAAGCATAAAAGAAATACTAATAACACTAAGTGAACGAAAAAGTTAATAAGATAAATTTCCTGTAGAAGACATAAGCTCTCTTGAAACATAACCCCTGTTTCCTCTCGAGCTGTGCATAGCAGATTTCCTTCTGAATAACGCAGTACTAAAAGGAGCCCAAAAGGAAGTAGCTTTATGGTGAAGAGTCTGGCAAGCATTACCCTGGCTAGGATCACAGTTAACATCAACAATTCTGCTGGTAGCGCATGAGCTTGATGTCTAATGTGAATGACACGTTATGGTGCTTTCCTTCCAAAACCCATAACCCCAGTCTAATCTCAAGAAAGTAAGGAAGGGAGGGAGAGGGAATGGCGGGAGGGAGGGAAGGAGAAACAGAACCAGTGAAAGGAAAAGTATCAGCACAGGATCCCAAAGACCAAGTTCTCAGCACCAACGAGATTTTTTTTTTTTGTCCCAGAAAGACAAATAAGAGACAAAGATGCCTGACAGTGGCGATGCATGCCTTTAATTCCAGCACTCAGGAGGCAGAGGCAGGCGGATCTTGGTGAGTTCGAGGCCAGCCTGGTCTACAAGAGCTAGTTCCAGGACAGGCTCCAAAGCTACAGAGAAACCTTGTCTTGAAAAAACAAAAACAAAAACCCAAAAAAAGAGAGAGAGAGACAGGAGATAGAGGACAGGGGAGAAGGGGAAGGGAACAAGGGAAAGGGGGCAGATATTTGTCCCAGAAGGAAAAGGACTGCACTGGATAGAGAGGAGATAGACGTGGCCCATAGGCAAATGTTGGTTTATAAAGATAAAATGGGAAACTTCATGTTAGGATGAGGTGTTTAAGTTTAATTGAGCATTTTAATTAGTGAGCCAAAGGGGGCTTGTGATATCTGGACTTCAATACTTTGATAGCTAGACCTTGATAGTCAGCCCCAGAAGGAAGTGGCCAAATAAGGGAAGAGACCTCAGTGACTAGCTTTAGAAATGTAATCTAAGGGTTTGTAGCAAGGCAGAAGGAATGGGAGAAAAGGGCAAGGCCTGCCAGAGTCATGGCTGGCCAGAGGGTTTTCAATCAGACCAACTATGGTTGAAAACTAGCCTACAGAATACCTTACTGGTATTCCTCAAACTGTTCAGTACATCAAAGATAAGGAAAACTGTCTAAGAAACTGTCAAAGCTTAGGGGAACCTAAAGTGAAACACGGCAACTAAATGCTGTGTTTATATACTGGGGGGATACTGGAATAGAAAAAAGAGAATCAGATGAAGAGTAAATCTGGCTAAAAGGATAGACTTTAGTTAATAATAATAATGTAATAAAAGTTAATTAATTACCTAGCTGTTCTGGATAGTTTTATGTTAACTTGACACAGCTAAAGTCTGTATGTCCCGGTCTCTGGACTCCATCTTTGGAGGCCCCATCCCTGAACCCGCCAAACCTTGACCCCTCCCCTGAGGAGGGTCAAGGCAGCCTGCCAAAATCAGACCACTCCCCCAGTCTATTTAAACTGCTCCCCCAGAAAGTCCCTTCGTGGTCTATTCTCCTACCACCCCATGGTCATGTTCGCGGCTTCCCAGTTCCCCTTGGGGCCACCCGAGAGTGCAGGATTCCCATTAAACCTGGATATTCTTTAATTTGGCTTGTTGTGATTTGGCTTGATTGGGATTTTTGCACTGGCATAGAGCTTGAGTTAGGAATATTCCTAACAAAGTCATCTGAGAGGGGAAAACCTCAATTGATAAAGTGCCTCCTAAGAACAGGCTGTAGGCAGGCCTGTAGGGTATTTTCTTAACTAGTGATTGATGGGGGAGGGCCCAGCCCATTGTGGGTGGTGTCATCCCTGGGCTGCTGGTCCTGGGTTCTATAAGAAAGCAGGCTGAGCAAGCCTTTAGGAGCAAGTCAGTAAGTAGCACCTCTCCACAGCCTCTGCATCAGATCCTGTCTCCAGGACTCAACTCCTATTGAGTTCCTGTCCTGACTTCCTTCAGTAGTGAGCAGTGCTGTAAAAAAAAAAAAAAATAAGTCAAATAAACCCTTTCCTCTCCACGTTGCTTTGGGTCATGGTGTTCCATCACCATGGAACCCCTAACTAGGACTCTGGGTATGGTGGAAGATGCCTATGATCCCAGCATTTGGAAGGTCAAGGAAGAATTGCCAGTTTGTAGCCAATCTGAACTACATAGCAAGTTCCAACCAGAATAGCAACACCTGTGTAAAATATATATATATATACATATATATATATACAATGATAAAGGTACTATCTAAGATGTAAACAAAGGAAACTGGGTGGGTGTGGTTTATATAGAAATTGTAGAATCTCCATAATTTTTCCATAAACCCAAAATTATTCCAAAATTAAAAGGTTTTAAAAAAATGTTTATAAGTTTTGTCTACAAAATTCTTCTAATAGTTATTCTAAGGAAAAATTAAAACAGACTCTTAAAAATGCTAAATATGTCTATTCATATCTGCAGCATTCACTACATAGGAAGGACAGTGCCACTGGCTAGAAATAGAAGTACATTATAGGGCTTAGTTAACGGAATCCTGGAACATCTATGAAACAGAATTCCTTGCAGCCTCTCAGAATTGAAGTCATGGCACTGGGTTGTCCTCAATGGTAAAGCATGTCCTTAGCATGCACAATGCCCTGAGTTCCATCCCAGCTATATAAATAAAAATTGATGTTGCAGGAGATTATTTGATGACATGAAAAGTTACTGATTTAAGCCAGGCATGGTGACACATGACTTTAATTCCAGCACTGGAAAAACAGAGAAAGCAGATTTCTGTGAGTTCGAGGCCAGTCTGATCTACACAGAGAGTTCCAGAATTGCTAGGACTACATAAAAAGATCCAGTCTCCAAAAAAAAAATTATTGATTTATAATTGTATACATTTCTATGTATTACATTTCATTAAAAATGACCCTTTAAAAGGTAGAATTTGACTCTTCTTCATACATAAAAGAAGTCAGGACTATGCTTACATAGGAATAGGACCAGAATGTTAGACTATGTAACTTTCTGAACACTGGATATCACAGCACATGCTTTTAATCTCAGTATTCATTAGGCAGAAGCAGGCAGATCTCTGGAAGTTTGAGGCAAGTCTGGTTTACATAAAGAGTTCCTATGTAGACTAGCCAAGGCTAGCCAAGGCTACATGGTGAGACCCTGTCTCAAAAAATAAGTAAATAAAAATAGTTTTGTATAAATACTTGCTTCTCCGATCTGCTGGGGTTGTTCTGTTTTTGTTTGTTTGGTGGGTTAGTTTTTTGAGACATAGTTTCTTTGTGTAACAGTCCTTACTGTCCTGGAACTTGCTGGCCTCGAACCACTGAGATCCACTTGCTTCTGCCTCCCAAGTGCAAGGATGACAGGCATGTACCTTCGCCACCCAGCTCCACTTTGTTGTTTTATGGGTTTCCAGAATTGCCTGTTGGTAAACTGTTTGTGTAAAGAATTAGAAGAATGGAAGCTAGAGAAATGGCTGAGTGGTTAACGTGCTTGCTGCACAAGTATGTGTTCAGATCCTCAGGCTTCACATTAGAAAAACAAAAACAAGTGTAGTGGCCTGCTCCTGCACTCTCAGGGCAACTCATAAGTATCTCGGAGCGCATGCGTGTGTGTGCACGCATACACACACACACACACACACACACACACACACACACCAGATTGCCACCAAGAGTTGGGGGAGATGACAAAGATAACAAATTTGGAGCCAGAGTGACCCAGAGACTGAGTAACAAGAGAAGTCAAAAAGAGAACTGGGCCGATGGGGAAATGGTTCATTCCGTTCTGAACTTGATGAATGTGTGACTCTCACAGGGTAGGAGATGTGGAAATCCTCACCAGGTATGCACAGCCATCAGACGGCTGTTCTGCTCCAGTGACAATCCCCTCCCACGGGTCTCATCCGTTCCTGTAGTGTCAGTTCCCGCCATCTACACGGAAAGCTCCCAAATGTCTTCCGTTCAGCTTCAGTGTCTGCTTTCGGCTGGATGCCGTGTGTGCACACTCCACCAGCATCTATAATTTAAGATGTCAACATGTAGCTTAGTTTCTTCCTCAGTTCCTTTCAAAACTGTCCCTGTTTGGGGAAATGTCACTGCCACCAAGGCCCAAGGCCCAAAGCTTCAAAGTATGTCCGGTTCTTTCTTCCTCCTCCTCTTCCTCTTCTTCCTTCTGTCAAGCCTGATATTCAGTTAATGCAAAGCCTCACGGTGCCTGCCACTCTTCCAGCGTTCTCACCCCAGCCATCCTTCTTTGTTTGCTGTCTGCCATTTACAAGGAGTCACTCTACTGAATGCACAACAACCACCCTGTGGTCCTAGCACTTGTCACCCTCCAGAAAAGCCGTCTTTGGCTTGCACCACAATGAACTTCCTAAGACGTAATTTGGATCATGTCACTTCATCCATGGTCTACTGCCTCTTGCATCATACTTGAGCACAGCAAACCATTTACTGCTTCCAGAACACCCTGAGGACTTGGGGGTAATTTAAAGGCTCAGATCCAAAGTCACCTCCAGGAAGACTTCTTGCTTCTCCACGCCTCTGCCCAACTCTCAGCATTTACCAGAATCTTTATTAACAACACTTTCTTCA